CGAGAGCGAGTGGTGTGAGGGATAGACTGGAAGCATTTTTTTGTACTTGAGAACATTAAATAAACATTTCTATCAATTAAGACCAGCTTTTATAACAGTATGTATCTTATATAATTAAATATTAAGTATTTGTTAACACTTTTATGTAGATTATTTAATAAATGAGAAATGGAGTGCCGTGAGACTTTGCGCTGTCTTATTTTTCCGTCATATGATTTATAATATAACTTAATACATATGAATTTTGTTTACGTTAGTGGTAAGGCTGTTTATTTGCCAAAATAGGCTTAATAGTTTATTAATTTAATGTTTCTTTTTATTTGTTTGTATTTTAGTGCATGACCGATGGATAACTTGGGTAACTGTGGCAGTTGGTAATGGTGAATATGGTCGTCGGTAATGGTAAGTGTGGCTAATGACAAGTGTCTCGACCTAATTTATTATTGTGTTACCAATCGTTAACAGAGGCTTTATTATTTTATAAATTATATGATAACTCGTGTTTTACAGAGTTCTTATATGATAATCCGTTTCTTAACCTATTATAGTAATAATCGTATTATATTATAATAATCAGTTTAATGTATTATTTTATTAACAATATTATCTAGGTCCGTATTTTAACATAACCTACCCAGTATTTTATTTGTATAATTCTAACCTAATGTTTTATTTATTGCTTAGCTCTTGATGAGAGGGAAGGACGTCACACTCCCTTGCGCTCATCGAATCTGGCAACTCTGGTTTAGGCAGTTATGCCTCTTTGAATTATTCACTAATACTTGCATATTCGTTTTTGGAATCATCCAGGAGGTGTGGCGTACCGACTAGGTAGAGCCAGTCGAGAGAGCCAACACTACAAATTATGTCTCAGAGAGACACGTATTTGACTTGCGTCCAAAGCGCAGAGAGCGATTTGCAATCTAACTTCTCAACCCTATAAAGGGGAGAAACAAACAGAGAGCAACCGTCTCTGCGTCCGGGAATAGGAGGAAAAGGACCGATAGCGGTGAGTGCACGGTCTTGTACAGCGGGATGGCCA